GCGACATCTAGAGTCTTCTAATTGTATCTCCTTGATATGATGCCTACAACGAGGTTGATATCTACACAAACTCGGCTATTTATCCAAGCTCAGCCAGGTCGGTTAAAAAATACGCAGTTAAAAATTACGCTCTATTGTGAATTGTTAATGGGAAAGTGGAGAGGGAAATTTTGGCTTCCTTTTATACGTGACATATTTTAAAAGAGTATATATATTACCCAAATACCTCGCATAATTACTCATTTAAATTGGTCTAAATCCCGTTAAACTAATCACATTTTCTTGCCAACTACCAACAGGGTTACTTAAATAGCTAAAAGGAAATTTTACCCGAGTTGAGCATTCTTTTGTCGCTCGCTTACAAAAAAAATGCAGCTAGTATAAATGGTGGTCTGGACATACAACATTCAAAGCGGTCTGGACATACAACATTGCAAGTTGATAAAAGCGTTTTAAAATAATAATATATCTCAGTCCCATAGAATTTGTTTTGATAACTTTTGATTTTGAAATTTTAGCAAAAGTCATTATAAACAATTTATGAGATTGAAAACGAAAAACGTGGAGCGCATGAAATACAAAGCATTAGATTTAATTGACAATATTCAAACTACATACATAACATAGACCTAAAATTTCTACAGCGAAAGTACAAATTTGAGATCGATTTTAATCGGTCGTTATTAATATACCCACATACATACATATATTACTCTTCAATTAAAAATCAGGCCTATTACATGCGCCCCACGCTTTTCATTTTCAATCTCATAAATTGTTTATAATGACTTTTGCTAAAATTTCAAATTCAAAAGTTATCAAAACAAGTTCTATGGGACTGAGAAATATTATTTTCTAATTTTAGTCCATTTATAAAAGCGTGGTACATTAAAAAGTTTTTTTATACCTTTCATGAGCATGAAATGGTATTATAACTTTGGTCCGATGTTTGTAAGTACCAGAATAAAAAGAGATAGACCCATTAAAATTTATACTTATATGATCAGAACGTCGAGCTGAGTCGATTGAGCCATGCCCGTCTGTCTGTCGGTCTGTCTGTCTGTCCGTCTGCTTGTATGCAATCTAGTCTCTCAGTTTTCGAGATATCCTGATGAAATTTGGTAAGTGGGTGTATTTTTATATTGTATTAATCATGTGTCGGAACCGGAACAATCGGACCACTATAACATATAGCTCCCATACAACTGATTGTTCGGATATGAGACTTTTCGTTATAACTCCTCCATTTATGCAGCTAAGAGCATGAAATTTTGCAATACTTCCACCCATTTTCAACAGAAAACTTAGAGTGAAAATTACAAAGATCGGGTCACTGTAACCTATAGTCCCATAGTAACATGAAATTTTGCACTGTTGTCCCTCATTATCAAAAGAATACTTTCAGTGAAAATGGGGAAGATCGGGTTGCTATAACCTATAGCCTCCATACAACTGATTATTCAGATATGAGATTTTTTGCCATAGCTCCTCCATTTATGCAGCTAGGAACATGTAATTTCGCACCGTTCTACTCATTACTAACAGAATACTCACAGTGAAAATTGCAAAGATCGGGTGACTATAACATATATCTCCCATACAACTGATTGTTCAGATATGAGAATTTTCGTTATAACTCCTCCATTTATGCAGCTGGGAATATGAAATTTCGCTCTATTTCCACCCATTATCAAAAGAATACAGTGAAAATGGTGAAGATTTGGTCGCTATAACCTATAGCCTCCATACAACTGATTGTTCAGATATGAGATTTTTTGTTATAAATTGTCCATTTATGCAGCTAGAAACATTAATTTCGCACTATTTTCACTCATTATCAATAGAAAATTTACAGTAAAATGAACAAAGGTCCGGTCGCTATAACCTATTTATTGCCTCCATACCACAGATTGTTCATATACCAGTTTTTCGATATATCTCCTTTATGTTGGAAGCTAAACCCATTAAATTGGTTTATGTTATGCAACAGACTACACGAAATTTCAGTTTATTTTAAGCGATAGACAAAATTGAATGATAGTAATCCATATAAGCAAAGAAAATTGGGTTGAGAATGAAAGAAAAAATTTAAAGTTGGTTTTTTAAAAAGTATTCGATACTACGAGTACTTTGCAAAGTATGGAGTAAAATCACCACCTTATCTGGTAAAGTACTCATTTTTATACCCTCAGTATCGATGCTTACTCAATATCGATAGTATCGTTCGAACCCTAATTACATATATGAGCCACACCAACTTTCCGCGAATGTTTGACGCAGCATTAAAGGCCTTTAAAGGCGCCTGACTTTGGCGCTGCGTTGGCTTTGGCGTCGCTTCGACAGCTGACTATGAATACATGCTTTTATATGAAAGTCTCCACATATCCGAAGTTGGGCAACGCCAACGCCAACACAATGCAAAAAAATGGCCAACTCTCAACTTTTCGCGCGTGTCTGTCGTCTGCTGTTCTAAATAATCAAAATTATGTGATTCAATTACTTTTTTAATCAAATTCGGGGAAAAAATATAGTTTTTAATGCAATTATTGATATATAAATTTTGATTTATCTTCCGCTAGTATGTTAATTTAGTGGCCAAACTATTGATGACTACATTTTCGCACACTCGGTCGTGATATTTCAATTCATTTGGCGTCTAAAAATTGACATGGAGCAGGTATTTCCTGTTTTTCTGGTTGATATTTTCGCGAAATATTTACAAAAGCCTGTAATTTTTAAAATATGGACTGTGCTGCAACAATTCTAGACATCATTTTTCAGTAATATCTCCTCTTTTCTTTTCCTGAAATGTATTTTGTGCATGCACACAGAGACTTTTTACAATTTCGTCATATTTTATAGTTGAAACGCTAATATTTATGAATTTTTTTGCAATTATCCACTTTTTAATAATTTCGACAGATTTTATGCCAAAGAGTGTGTTTTATGCAATTTTAATGCAAATATTAACTTATTCACTAATTTTTCCCCATAAGATGTAAACAAACAATGCGTGCATAACGATTAGCAAACGACAGTACCGTACTAATCCGTTTCTACATCTTCTACGATTTGGCGGTAACTAGCCGCTAACGACAAGTGTGCAGATCTCTTTTGAAATGCATGTGCTCGGCTCAAAATTTCAGGGCGAGACGATGTCGCAACTATGATTGGACGACAAGTGTGCAGGTAGCCTTATGGTTCTCGTTCATAAGTTAACTTTCGCGAAGGCGTCGATGCCAATTATATTTAAGTACACATATGAACGCATGCTGTTTGGTCAACCAATGCATACGCGTACGAACAACAGCGAAAATTTTTTCGCGAACGCGAACGATCTGGACTTCTTTTATGCTTCTTGTTTGCAAAGGAGAATCAATAGAGAATATTTGATACGTTCACGTTCGCGTATAAAATCTAATGTATGTACGCGAATGTTCATATATAAATACTTCCGAACCCTGCCTATAATCGATGATAGTTAATGTGGTTACGGTTATGGCAATGGTTATGGCTACGGCGTTATGGTATGTCACCACTAATTTAACCTTAAATTATTTCCATGTTTTCAGTTTCATGCGTTTGTCTGTACACAAAATTTCGATCAGCTGTACTAAAAATTTGCAGGTTTTTGCTAATTTTTCGTTCGCGTACTTGTTGGTATATTTTCCAATTTGAGAGATAATGGTTCGTTTCTCTCCTGCAGGATGCTGCTGAATATTTTTCAATGGATCTCTATTCGAACAGACTGATTGTTAGTTTGTAAATTATTCTGTTTTGAATCAACAACTGGCGTACAACGGTTTAAACAGTTGCGATTTTCTAAATATGTAAAATAAAGTAACACGTCTAATGAGTAGGATATATAATTGAAAGTAGTTTTATTTGAACTACTAAGGGCTGTTTTATCATGTAAGCAGTAAAGTTGGTTTTACTAACAGGGCAAATAAATTGTTCCTCATGCGCGCGCTAAGTATTTTCGTTTTCTCATGTCACCGGTAAAATAAAATTTTTTATTCCGAAACTACGGCAACGCCAAAGTAAAAATTCCCTAAATTATTCATAAAATTTCAATGTTGGCAATGGCACATAAGCAAAGAAGCAGCAAAAGCAGCTGTTAGCCAAAACAAAACCTTGGTTCAAATAGCTAATACATCTGAATCACCATCAAAACCAAAGTTGGGTACAAATTTTTAAATGCTACATCAGGTGAGGACCAGCTTATCGATTCGAAATATTAATATGCTGATTAGAAAACGAAAACTCGTGTATCGAGACGATAAAGTGGCCCATAATCTAAAGGTTAGACGAGAAAACGGTCCTAGGTTATATACTTACCATCATTGTAATTTTCCTCAATGATTGGCGATATTAGGTCCACAACCATAGTAATCGCCCGTTTATCCTTATTCCGCTGTTGTTGTATGTAGATGGAAAGCTCATCCCGTTTGAGTGCTTTTGTTATGTGACGTTTCCTATCTGGATCATCATTATTTTGTGGCTTAGGCAAACTTTCTTTAAGCTCAATACTCGTACTTTGTTTTCTATTAAGAGACTGTTCATTAGGAGTAGTTATGTTTTGTTCGAAATCTGATAGATATCCCTTCAACTCGTTTTTATCTGCAGTCGCACTATCCTCATAGTCATGTTGCTGGATTCTAATTATATTGGTTTCCAACTCCAAATCATTTTCGGTCTCAGTTGGTTGAATGTCACACATAATTCGAAATGCACTCTTCATCTTTTCGACATCACCCATAGCATAGTAACACAGAATCAAGTGGATGGCACTACGAATGTCAGCATGTTCCGACATTATGAACTCAAAGCTAGATGCCGCATCGACATATTGCCCCATCCGTACAAAAATAATGCCAATATTATGGGTTATTTTAAGTCGAAGTTGCTTTAGATTGTTGGGAACCGAATCAAGCGCCATACGATACATTTTAATAGCTTTCGTTATTATTCCCATCTTATAGTATATATTACCCATGTTTAACTTTAACTGATTTACGTGAGGAAACATTTTATTCTTAGTCATGATACTGTAGGTGTTGAGGGCTTCAATGTGCATATCGTTGCGTTCATATTGCTCAGCTAGGTTAAAGAATACCTAAATTATTAAGCTTGCGTATTAGTTTTGCTAAACATCACATATTTTGCTATACATGTCATTATATTAATTATATTTTAAATATCCTAAAATCGTATTTTACGCTACTATTGCCCAGTTTTTTGACGAGAACTTAAATTTAAAACGCGAATTAAAGTCGCTGAATTGTGATTTAGCTAAAAATTATGTTTTTTTACACCGACTTAATATATTTACATCGCCGTTTAGGACGCGGCCAAGTTTTAGTCTCCGATTTTTAAATCGTGAAAATTGGCGATTTTAACGCTTTAAACTTAGACTTATCATATTTTCGAATTTTGACTGCACTTAAGCTGCGTTTCTTCACACTCATTTAAGTGGAAATTAACTTTAATTAAATTTTTTTTTTTATTCCCATTTAAATTATTTTCAGTTTCAATAATCTCTTTATTTAAGTGATTAAAAAGTGGTTGTAAAACAGACTTGGCTAGTGAAAGCTTTAATTTGTACTGAGAGCTTTTGAAAGCCTTGGCACGCTGTGTTGTAAAAGCAGGGCTGGTATACAAGTAAGCAGCAGATACAGAAAATTGCGGTGTGTGTATATTGATCAGCTGATTAAACCTGTAACATCTCTGAGTGTGGTTATTCTGATTTAACTTTTATTTAAGTGTAGAGCATAGGCCACTTAAATCAAAATTAAAAACAAATTAAAATTGATTGGTGAAACCAAAAATTCGAAAATTAAAGTAATTTTCACTTAAATGAATCTGGTGAAACGCAGCCTTAACTGTCAGCATTTGACTAAGGTAAAAATCATAACACAATTTTGACAATTCTGTTTTAACCTTCATCCCCTCCTCAAAAAACTTACGTTGTCTACGTGTCCTCGTGTGTGACTTTTCACTCATAAGACAAACCCATGTGTTTTTCTATAGAAAATTCGCTTGTTTTATTTTCAAAGTACCCAGTAGAAATTTTATTTTATCAAATTTATCAAGAAATGTACTTAAAACAACGACAGCGTACATTCGCTTGCAATTCGCTAGAATTTGAATTTATTCGTGGAAATTCATGACTACGCATGAGTTGTTCACACTAACAGGTCTATTCTGCACGTTACCGAAGATTTTGTGACCGGAAAATTTTATTACCAAAAAATGTTACCACTTCTTGTCACTGCGATTCTAGGTATGTTGGTAATGCAGTGAAAATATTCAGCAACTCAGCTATGAAGATTTGTGGAAATTCCTGTATTGCATATTTCACGGGGCAATATTTTGTTACCAGCTTGTGAGATGGTAACCAAATTTATCGGTAACAAGAGAGCACAGAATGCGGAAAAGGTTTAAAAATTGACAGACACTTTAATTACCGGTTATAAAATTTATGTTACCAGCGCAGAATAGACCTGTAATTCACTCATATAGCAAGCATTCTTCATGAATGCATACAACCGATTTCTACTGGGTATCTAGATATGTGCTTGCATTTGTGTGTATATATGAGTATACATATCAATGTGTATGTATGTACCTGTAAGCGCATGCATGCATATGTATTGTGGCGAATACTGCGGCAACACAAAGCGAACAACGAGAAATAGGCAGAATGTTCGAAGAATGACGTAGAATGTCCCACAAAGAGAAACGTCAAGTTGGATGAACACTGCGAACAGCGAGAT